CCAATACAGTAATTTGTTCAGTACAATATGATATAAAGCTCAATAATCCAATAATAGCAATTTGTTTAGCACAATATGATATAAAGTCATCAACAATTTAATAGGTTCAATATGATATAAGACTACTTATATACAAGATTTGAAGTATATAAAGAAAATATGAGAGGTAGAAAGTATTTAAAAGAAGATTTTTGTTAAAGAGATTTTTATTTTCAGTTATAATATATCGAGTTATGGCTCAGACAGCACCTCTATTTATACATTTTTTGAAATTACAAAAAGTAAAATAAATAATTATAAAAATATAACTAATTATAAAAGTGAAATAATTTATATAAAAGTGAAAAGTAAAAAGTGAAATTTTGAAAAAGTGAAAAATAAAAAGTGAAAAATTAAAAAATAAAAAACTAAAAGTGAAAATATATATATAAAAGTAAAAAAATAAAAAGTAAAAAATCAGAAAAGTGAAATAATAAAAGTGAAAAAATGAAAAGTGAAAAAATGCAAAGTGAAATAATAAAAGTGAAATAATATATGTAAAAGTGAAAAATAAAAAGTAAAATAAAAATAATAATAAAAAGTAAAATAATACTAAGAGATTTTATCATTATATGAATATTTTTGGAATTTTCATATTTTTTAATTATTTTTGTATTTGTAATTTTTATATTACTATTATAATAATATATCTATAAATATAGAAATAATCAATATTTTTTATTTTTAGTTAGTAACTTTTATTTGTTTAATTATTCTTTTGAATATACTTTTTTAACTCCTTTTTTTATCTTTTATAGAATTGTTTAACAATTTCTGTTAAAATTGGTATAAATTTAAATATTTATTTTTATATTGATCAATTTATTAGTTTATTTTCTCTTCTAATTTATATAATTCTTTTTACTAAAAGTGAAAAAACTCTTTATTTAAAGTAACTATAGCATTATATTAAAATAAATTATAATTTCAAGCAATTTATAATCTGAAATATGAGTTATAAATTAATATATAATATTTATTATTTATAATAAATATTTGAAGTATTATATAAAATTTACAATAAATTTAATAAATATAAAAATGAAAATATTTTAGTCATAAGCAAAGTTTTAGTTTATATTTAAAACTACAAATTAATATATGATACTATATGTCAATCTTAAATTAAACTCAAATTAGATTTAAATTCATATAATAATTCAGTTCGAATTTAATTCAAACTTTAAATCTTTCTTGAATTCAAGCAAAAATCTGATTTAAATTTGATTCAAATTTTAAATTAAACTTGAATTTGAATAAAAGTCTGATTTAATTTAATTTATAAAAATACTAGTAGTAATAATATATATTGATATAATATAATTAAGCATCAAATATATATAATATAATTAAGTATCAAATATATATAATTAAAAATTTAGCAAAATTTGTAATAATTAAATCTTATTATAGAAAAATTATTATATATTTATATAGATATGACTATTTAATTTAGTTAAAAATATTTATATTACTATTTTATTTAAATATAAATATTTTATAATTTTTAATAAGTTATTTTATATATTAAATTTTTATTAATATAAAGTACTATTATATTTTTTTAATGTTTTAGCAAAAATACCAATTATTATATTTATTAAAATAATTAATTGATTTAAAAGACTTTTACAATAGAAGTGAAAGCTAGATTTAAATTATATATATTTAAAAATTTTTATTTGTTTTAAAGATTTTCTATAGTAATTTATTCACAAATTAATCTTTTTATTAATAGAAAAAATATATAAAAACAGTTTTATTTCTTGTAAGTAGAACTAAATTATTTTAATAAAATTATATTTATTCAATAATTGAAAATATTTACAAATATAACAGATCTTATTAATATGGCTTACCTAAGAAAAATAAAACTAATTCAACAGGACTTATTAATACAATCTGTACAAAAAAATCAAAATCAATTCAATAAAATTTATTGACATGATCTGTTCAAACTAACAATTCAAAAGAAATTAATGACTTATTTATGGTAAAAAAGCATTTACTACTTGTAATTACTTACAAGATTTGAAGTTTGATCAAGAAAATAATAATGTATTTACAAGTACTAGTATTATTATGAGTAAGAACTTGTTTATTTATTAGATTAAAAGCATGATCAAAGTATATATTTCAAAGATTCGAGAATATTACTTTTGTACAGTTTTGAATTATTATGTTAATTTTATATTATTTCTAAGATTAGTATTTTTACATTGATTGTTTCTCCCAAAACTTTCTAAAAGTCATTAAATAATAATTGTTTCAATGTCTTTCAATTTCCAAATAATTATTGATCTTTTAATAATCACTATATTAATATTGAAGAATAATGGAGACTTATAATACAAAAAAAAGAAAAAAGGTAAGTCATTAATAATGAAATATTTCTAAATTTGGTTTATAATAGAACTTGCACAAGAAACTAATTTTAGAAAGATTATCATGTAGGGAATTATGGAAAGATATTCATGTGGAAAGTAAGAGTAAAAATTATGGAATTGAAGAATTTAATGCTACTATGATAACTACTACAGAAATTTTTCACATAAAGAACAAAAACTCACTACAAGTAGGTTAGAAGCTGTTATGTGATGCATTAGCCATAACTTTTATCCAAATTCTCACTCGACTTTTTACATTAACTTTAGAGTGTCCAACTTACTGCATTTTTGTGGAACAATTGATTCTGCAAATTCTGCATGTATAACATACACGATCCCTTGATCAATAAATATCAAAGGTCGAAACCGACCAATTCTACAATTTTACAATCAAAAAAAGAAGTAAATACAAAATTTAATCCATAATATGACCCAAAATATAGATTAAATTATGTATTTACTATTGAATGCGCTGTGAAGCTCATCAGAAGTTTATCGATCATAGATCAGCAGCTAATACACGCGTAAGATAAGGATGCGTAATTTTTGATTAGCATCCAATAAGAATGCAGAAATTTTTGATCAGATCAGACCAGCGACACAAGAAAAGGAAAATACAAGAATATGAGAAACTAGCTTGGAGTGCTACGTAATTTAAAAACGTCAGAGAGGCAATTTTATATACAATCTGCATCTCAGCCCTAACTCTAACACTAATCCTAAAACCAACCTTCTAATGTTAATTAATATCACAATAGAATATTCTATGAATTCTGCATGTACAATAAACCAGGCACCTTATGCTAATTACTAGGAGGAAAGCAGACGGGATGCACTTAGTATATAAAGATTTCTTGGATGATCTCATGACAATTAATATAAATCAAAGACATTAAATGTGAAAAAATTAGAGTAATATTCCTTTGCACATAAACGATAATTTATTGACTATTTGATAAGTTCCGATATATGTTGGTGGTACAAAACTATTATCGATATCGATAAGTTTAACATGCATTTTATTTTCTTCTCCTAACAACTTCCTTCGTTAAAAACTTCTAGAAATTCACAATTTATCAATGCAAACTTTGATTCACAGAATTATATTTATTCATTAAATGAAGATAAAGAATGAGGATATGAAATTTGCAAAATCCAAGAGTCAGCGTATCTGTGAATTAATATTTCTTGATGTATTTTGATTAGTATTATTTGTATTAGAAGATGACAAAATAATTTTCTTTGTATTTCCTATAAATTTCACCGAATAATAATAAATAACAACGCAAAATGTAATTACATTCAAAGAATGATACCATATGCAAAATAACTTTAATCAAAAGTTAATAGGTATAAATCGATTCCAAATTTTAATAGCAAGCCAATGGTATTTCAATTCTGGAACTAAAACTTAATTAAACGGAACGGGAGTTTCTGATTTTAAAAATCTTTAAAAGCACTTTGAAAAAATTTAGCTGATAAATAAAAGTTATATAGCTGAATTCTTAGAGAAATATGTGTATAAGTATGGATTACGTATATAGGAAATAAATGATAACCTTAAGGACATCACTCATTTCTAGAACCGGTTCGGTTATTCAATTCCGGTACTCGTTATTGCATATTGATATCGATATACGTACACATGTATACGTAAACAAAATAAAACCAGTTACGCACTGTATCGGTATACAGTAAATTTTTCTAAAACATCTCTGTTAAACTCAAATCTTTATGACTTCACCACTTCCTTATATGTAGCAAATGAAAATAATTATAATACACAAAACTTAAGTGAAACATTCTAATATTAACTTTTCTGATGTTTCGCAAATCACTAACAATAGTTAACCAACTAAATAACAAAATTCATTAATAATGATAACGTCAACTGTGGATTATATCAACTTCTTGATACATGTAATCGGTCACATAAAACATTCAGAACCAATTAGCTTGCCATTATATATTTTATCTATTTCTTCAGCATTAACTTGATATTTTGCGTGTAATTTTAATAAAAATGCATGAGCTGAATTTGTATATTGTTAATAAATGAAAAACAAATAGAGGTCAAAACATTTTTCATCATTCTATACTCATAAAGACCCTCGTTAAACATTATACTTTTTTAGTTAACTCAATTCTTTGGACATCCAAATAGCATTTGTGAAAAAATAAGGATCTTCTATTTAAAAAGTTCATCCATGATAGAATTTCGATTCTCACTTTGATTTTTTCTTATATATTTCCATTTCTGTGATTTATTCTAGTTAATATGTCCTATTTTATCAATTCTGATAAACTATCTGCGGTTTTTATTATAAAAATTAGATATAAATTGAATATAAATTAAATACAATTAAATACAATTAAATACAGTGCAAATCAAATAAAATTACAATAATAATGTTAACAACACAAGTTAATTGACTGGTCTACCGGGGGTTAGGTTAAAAATTCTAATATCTCTGTTTTCACGAATAAATTTACTCAATGAATAAAATAATACACTTGTAAAATGAACAGAGCCAGTTGTTGAGCTCATAGTAGTTACAAAAAAATAAAACTATTTTATACTGATGTACCGGCATTCATATTTTTATCATAAGGAGAGTGAGAGTAGGTAATTGAAGAACCATGCGATCCATACGATTGTGGCAGGTTGTAGGGAACCGAAACGTTGTCAAGCGCAAGGTTCACACGAACGGTTCTGGCAGTAAGGTCAGAGAGTGCATCATTGATTTCGAGCACTATCTCTGCATACTCGGCATATACCGGTATGACTTCCCCCTTGATACTCCCATCCAATGATGCTTGCGTCTTTATCGTGTAATGAGTGACAACGGTACGCCACACGAGATTCCAATTAGCAGTTGGGTTCTCTTGCTGGTTGTATTGGGCAAACAAAGCGTTTACAGCATTGGTAAATCTTTCGGCGCGACGCCTTGCTATATTTTCGATCCACATTCTGGCCAAATAATATCCGAAAGCAAAGCACGCATTTATTACGACTCCAGTAAGAAAATACTTATATGACTTGCCAGCAGAAATGGAAGCAAGGACTAAAAGACTTATAAGCAGTGATACGACCAGTGAGCCACATACTTTCTTAAGAAGAGTCTTTGCTCTTTCGCTCAATAGTGGGTATTGGCGGATAAAATGATTGATTTCATTAAGTCGAGCGGCGAACTCGTCGCGGTTGAGAAAACCGTGGAGATCAAGACACCACTCTGAGTCAAACTTATGAATAATATTAAAGACATCACAATCAGTAGTTTTCTCTTCTATAAGAGCGACTATAACGGTTTTCATTGTAGGGTAGTTTAGATATGAAAGTTAGATTTACTACGAGACGAGAGTTACAATTTACTATGAGGCAAAAGTTACGATTTACTATGAGACAAGAGTTCCATGTGTTATATATAATTGAAAGTAGTTTCTTGTCACACTCTTGGCAAAAAAAGCGGGTTGCATAATTGGTTGCAAGATTATTACAAAGCAACGGAGTAAATATGTAATTTCAAACATTATAATAGTACAAACGCTCATTATTCATTTGAATTTGGAGAAGAATAAATAAGTTTAATATTCATTTGCATTGTCAATGCGAAGCCACAATAAAGGAGATTTGGAAATTGGTTGTTTGTGAATCGTTTCATTTCAACCCTTCGCGAAGGAAAAGGGGATATGAATTCACGGACTGTTGCTTTGACTGCACCGCAAGAGCACATCGCATGCATTAAATTACGGCGGATTTGTGTAATGACGCTTCGCTATGAATCCAAAATCTTGTTTCATGGATGATCAATTACTGTATATGGTATATTTGGAGTTTCATAGTAAATTCATTGCACAAATCTGCTGTAATTGTAATGCTGTGCGACAGATTTACTCTATACAACAACTCATTAACCCGGCATATGATCATAATTAAAGGGTTAGGGCTAAGGGTAGAACTAGAGTGAGAATTAATAGTATACGTGAAAGTTTCTCTCCAACATTTTTGATTAGTGTTCAAAGTTAAATTTTGGCATCTGTCTCCCGTATTTTTCGCATTTTTAATTTTCCGGTGTCGGATTTTTTTCTGGGCTGATCAAAATTTACACATATTTCTTGGTTTGTGTTACTGCTGGTGGACACAGATTTAAGAAAGGAAATTATTATTGATAGGAAATGGTACTACATGTAATTATTTAAAAACATGCATTGTTTATCATGTGCTGACGTTACTTATAAAATTCAATGTTCCAGAACACTGGATTATTTTTATAACGATAAATATAAAATATTTTCTTATTTGAGCACCTTATCGTTATACATGTAATACGTATGTATAGAGGAAAAATTTATTTTTATCGTTATGAGAACATAAAAAAGCAGTTTGTTCATCTGAGAACACAACGATAAGTAACAATTGAATTTTAAACATTGTTTGCAATGTTTCATTACACAATTAATAACTGAAGTAGAAATGGTTAATTATTCTATCTTTTAGAATAAGCGCCAAATACAAGTGACTCTTGTTATAGTAAGGCAACCAGACTTTTAGTAAAAATTTTTCAAAAATTTACTAGGTTATTAGTAAATTTACTATAACGAGAGAATTTATTATAGACTGTTTTGGGCTGAACTTTACTATAACGTGAATCACTTGTACGTATATCTAAAATTATGTTGCGACAAAAAATGTAGTACAAAAAGAACCAGTTTAAACTATTTCAGAGACACATTCGGTGTTTATTTCCGGTAGAATATGGTCATATATGGTAAAATCAAATGATAGGAATTTTCTCATTCACTGAAACATGTTTTTTATCTTCACCTTGATTACATAATTCAGTTTATTAACGTTAATTTAAAAACAAATATCGATATTGTAAGACTAAATAAATGCGATCTGTATATCCATTGTTGTTTTTGATATACAGTAAATAGAAAATTAGGTGGATTGTACTCACCCCGACAGTAAATTACCGGAAATCCAAAAAAAGCATAGTAAAGCATAGTAAAACATAGTAAATTGAAATTATCTCTATAGCGAAATTTTTATTTTTATTAATAAATAATTTTTGTTTTTATATCAAAATAAAGCTAAGTATACATATAATTTTTATAGATTTTTAAATTTAATTTCAAGAATATTTCGGATTGTAAAGTTGATTACACAAACTTTTTATAATTAAAATTTGTAAATTTGAATTTTTAATCATAAAAATTTGTGTAATCAACTTTAAAATCCGAAATATTCTTGAAATTAAATTTAAAAATCTATAAAAATTATATGTTAACATACAAAAAATATTTATTATATCATTATAGAGAATTTTTACTATGTTTTACTATGCTTTTTTTATTTCCGGTAATTTATTGTAGTGGTGTGTAGATCCAACGCAAGACTGTGGTTCGGATCGTTCTTTTTATAGCCCAGCCTTTATATATGAGTCTTGAGACTAACAAAAATTACAATCCCATTATTTATAAAGTATTACTATAGGACGGTACTGATTATAACCAAGCTTTTATGTTTATAAATTTCTTCAGTAATTAAGCGTTTAACTGGAGTTGAAAATACATTTCATTAAATTCATGTAAAATTCGGGAGAACTTCCACTTGGAATTACAAGTTGAAAGCAATCACAAATAGCAAAGGTGAAGTAATTAACATCTGTTCTACCAGATAATGGAGCCTCGCTGGTTTCTATAATCCAAAGTAATATGCCAAAACTATATGTATCAGCTGCAAATGTATCTTCCCCACCACGTGAATTTTTGAACAATGTGTTGAATGAGGACCCATTGGTCGGACGACTAAATTGTGCACCTAAACCTGCTGTATTTTACCAGAATGTATCAGGAACACAGAGCAAATTTTTCTTATTAGACGTACTTCAGAATGCTGAAAGAATTGCAAGCCATAAATTATATCTTACAAAATTTCCCAAATTCATTACTTGCGTAATGAGTCACTACTATTTATGCACCGGTGTGATGTTTCCCAAGTAATATCAAAAAATGCGTTTAAGTAAAAATAATAAATTAAGATTTCTGATACAAACGCTTGCGGTAAGCGCTTTCGCCGTAATAATAATTGTTTTATTCTAGAATGATAGAAATTTTATAATTAAATTCTAAAATGTGTTTAATATTATATAAAAATGGTAATAAATAAATTTTTTAAAGTAAAAATTTTGGCTTATAGTTATTACTTAAAAAAAAGAATTCTAAAAAATGTAATAAAATAATTAATTGTTTTAATTTTCAAATTATTTAAATATTATATTAAGTTACAGTCGGAGCTTCTATAATATAAAATATGTAACCTATAGTGGCAATCAAAAGAAATGCAACGGCGTCAAAATTTATTAATAAAATGCAAGTTTTTCTCTTTATATAAAAGTTTTCAATTTTTATATAAAAATACAATAGTTTAACATATTTTTTAGATTTAATCTGAGAAAGCAAAGTAAATCTAAAAAATCTGAAAAAATATATGTTAAAATATGGATTATTGTTTGTATTTCATATAAAAATAAAAAAGATTGATTAGTAAAATTGAAAACTTTATATAAATAGAAAACTTGCATTTTTATTATATTCTATTACATAACTTTTGACCCTGTTACATTCTTTTGATTGCCACTGTACGTACGTATCGGTATATGCCAAATTATAGATAATTATACATACGTATATCCATAATTTTGATTCTCAATTTCTGCATGAAAATCCCTCCAAAATTAGTTCCTTGTGTAAGTTCTATTGTAAACCAAGTTTTTATATCGAATTACGACCATTTCATCGTTCTTTTAATAACGTATACGACGATCATCGAGAGGGTAACAATCACAATAATTATTTGAACAATTAGGAGTGTCGAACGATAGTTAATACACGTAACGGTTACGATTATCGAGAGGATAATCCCGACAATCATCTGGACAATTGAAGAGCATCGACGAAATGTACGTAACGATAGTAACTGTAAAAAAGGGGATAACAATCGTCTGGACAATTGAAAGACAATCGAACAATTAGTGTTTAGTCGTGTTAAAAGAAACCATCAATGTAAATTACTAACCTTAGAATTAGCATAGGATTAACGTAATAATTCGAAATTGTATATAAAAGCGTCTTCAAGTCGCTGTTAAGACATGCTTTGATCGTGCTTTAAATTCGAATAAAATAACAAGTTCTTACTCGTAATAACAATATAATTTGTGAATACACTATTATTTTCTTTCGTTTCATGATCAAACTTCAAACCTTATGAGTAATTGCAAGTAGTGGATGCGCCTCCACTTAAAATAAGTCGTTGAATTCTTTTTAATTGTTATTTTGATTTTATTTTTTTTTAACAGGCCATTCCAATAAGTCCCGTTAAGTTAATTTTGTTTTCTTTGTACAGGCCGTATAAATAAGTCCTGTTGAAATTAGTTTTGTTTTTCTTGGACAGGCCGTGTCAATAAGCCCTGTCGAATCGCCCTTTTGTATTGAGTTTCTTTTTGGACAGGCTGTATCAATAAGTCCTGCCATATTCGCATCAATTGGTATTAAAATAAAATAAAAACTTTATTATAACGAATCAACTCTTATTACAAGAGTAATTCTATCCTACCCCCCTCGTCATTTTGAAAAAGGCGATTTGTGAACAAATCGCCACGGGAAACCTCTAGAACAACCGGAGAGACCCCCCAACCGTAAATAATTCAGTTTAACTCCCACCCGTTGCAGTAAATTCCTTGAATCACTAAATTATAATTATGAAATACTAGTAATATTATTATTTTTGCTATTATTTTGTAACCAGTTTTTACAATGAGTTTTATCATCTTTTATCATCATTTTTGACTACATTTTCATTTGAATTAATAAGTTCAATAATATATTTATCATCTAAATTCCATATACTATGTGTTTTATAAGATTCTTATTAATAACTTTTATATTAATAACAATAATATGAATATGGTGCATAAAATCTAAAGTCATCAAACATTTGTATTTTATAAAATATATAAACTTCTTCACTAATTGCAAGTAGATTATAATTAGGTGTAATTAACAATTTTACCTACAACAATTGAGAGGAAGAGAGTGTATAGACTGATTTGTACTCATTCATTATCTAATTCCTGTGCTAATATCTATAGATATCATCAGGATTGATAATATTAGAGAGGCTTTATGAGAATTAGTATTTAGGATAAAAGAATTTGGAAGAGTTAAATTTCTTTAATTTTAAGTGATGAATTACTTTTATTAACAATATTTAATAATAATTGCTTTTTCTTGACAAAAGTCTTAAATTATTC